TATTTTAGATCTAGTCGTTTTTTTATACATTGCTACTGTTTTGTCTAGAAATTCAGGTTTTCTAAATTTTTTTTATTTATTTTCTGTGGTTTGGTGCTAGGTGTATTCTGGTTCTGGGTGCACTCTGCATTGATGGAAGGAATGGGTAGAGTTTGTCCGAGAAAAGGATATCATAAGGTAGGCTTCAACTGTTACAGGACTTAATCTAAAGAAAAAAAAACTGTTACATACCACTTGGTTCTTGAAGACATTTTCATAGGAAGATAGGAAGAATCTACAACCTTCACTGGTAGATATTACTACATAGCTTGCTTCTCGAAAAAACTCATTTTATACGATGTTCTATGAGTTCCTCATAAAGACATACTAACGAATTAAAAATTAAAACATACCAAAATAATAGCAAGATGAACCAACCTTTATTGTCAAAATGTTGTTTCATTTTTCTTCCTTGAAGTAGTGATCTTCTTCATATTACTTGTATGTAGACAGTGTGGTTTAAAAAAAGGGTTCTAACATTTTATTTTGAGTTAATACCAACCAAGGTCCCTCGAGTATAATGGTTCCGCCATCTATAGTCCTAAACTTTCAAATCAACCTTTTGTGGTCCTTCAAGTTTCAAAAATGACCAGCAATAATCTTACTGTTAGTGTTTTCCGTTTGAGCGGTGAAATACGAGGGTATTATAGACCTTTCACAATTTTCTCACCCAAATTGATGGCAATTGAAGAAATTGAGAGGCTACCGAGAGCGATTTGAAGGGGATTTAGGGAATTAAGAGGAAGAAGTTGGGGTTGGGAGGTGGGGAGCTTTTGGAGGCGCGGCGGCTAGGTAGGTGGCTTTGAAGGAGGGAAACGGTGGTGAGCGGTTGCAGGGAAGAACTGTGGAGTTAACGAAAAGTCTTGCAGACTCCCTACGGCAGTTCAATTACCTTAGGCCTTAGTTACCAACGAGTTGTGCCCATTAATTTGCTTGTTATGCAGCCATCGCTTTCGAGTCCTCCAAAGAAGCAGAAAGAGGTGATTCCTTCTTCGGGGAGCTCACAACCACCTCCTCCTCCTTTCCGACCAAATCTCCACTTTCCGGCGCTTGCTCCGTCGCCGGCGGCTTGATTTTCAATTCCACCTTCATCGGCTCCACCATTGGATTTGATTGTGAATTGATTGAACTGCCCAAACCATATAACAAAGAGCCACCACCATTTTGAACTGGTGTTTCCTCGAAATTTGGGGAAGAAGAAGCCGATGACGGGCTTGAAAATGGGACGGTTTTTCCTATCTCTGTCCAAGCAAAAAATGGTGTTCCCATAGATTTTAGTAATATATACTGGGATATCCAAGGTCTTGATAATTCCACTATCCCCATTAGGAAGGCAATACTTAATGTGGGTCAGTGTTGTATATATGAAAACTCCATTGTCATCCCAGGCTCCACTCTTAAGACAAATATCACCACCCTGTCCTCTGCCCAGCACAGTACATTTCCAGTCCCAGCATAAAATATTGCATCTTTAGCAATTGGAAGAATACTTTTCTTGACAATTTCATTTTTGAGATTCTTGACTAGAACTTGATTGGTACTCTTCTCAAGCACCGCAAACCTCTGTCCAGCAATAAACACTGCTGATCCTCCACTTCCTCTCTTTGCATCTTGAACTGTATCACCCCTCCCATAACTGTCTTTGGGCACAACATATAGTTCATAAGAACCACCATCCATATCTGAACATATTAAGACAGCATTTTCAGTAGCACTGTATGACAGGTTCAAGGACCTTGATTTAAGCTGTTTGAACCAAGCCTACGAATTGGTATCAACTGTGTGTCTTTCTGAGTTGAATACTCATAGATACGAAGGAACCGGTCTTTAACATAAAACAGATAATCTCCACTCACAGAAAATGCAGGGCGCTCCCTCTCTAGCTTGAACACTATCATCCCACTGTCATGCCCAGCTGCTTGAACACTATTCTCCGAAACCTGCCTTGGTCTCTTCCTCTTCGAAGCTGAAATTATTACCAAAACAAAACAAAAAGAAGAAATCAGAGAAAAAGAAAGGAATAGAAAAATGAAAGACTGTTTTGGAATCTCACCAACAACAGAAAAGGGAGCTGTCGACGAGGAGTTCGGCACCGTAGGCAAAATCGCCGGCGACGGAGAGCCAGAAACCGACAATGAGACACGGGATTTCGTATCGCAACAGTGGAGAGTCAGAAACCAGCGATGAGACGGCGACAATGGAGGTGCGAAGGCGTCCAAGTTGAAACTGGACCCTGTCTCACCGGCGAAGTCAAAGCTTGAAAATTATGAAAGTTGTGAAAGGTCCATAATGCCCTTGCATTTCACGGCTCAAACGGAAAATAGTAACGGCAGACTATTGCAGGTCATTTTTTAAACTTGGAGGACCACGAAAGGTTGATTTAAAAGTTTAGGACCATAGGTGGCGGAACCACTATATTCAAGGGACCTTGACTGGTATTAACTCTTTTATTTTTTTGTGCAGGATTTGTCTCTCCCAGTTCTCTATGGAGGAAGTTTCGTGAGAAGAGCTACTTAAACTAAATCTTGTGCTTCAGTGTAAATGTGGGGTGGGGGTTTCTCAATGAAACATCTAGGGGCCGTTTACTAACTGAAAATTTCTGGGAATTTCCAGAAACTGAAAAATAGAAAACAGAAAACATGTTTACTAACACAGTTTCCATTTTCAAAACTGAAAATAATTTCTGAAAATTTCCGGAAAAATGAAACACACTTAAAAACTGTTTTCAAAATAGAAAACAGAATCATCTATCATCTATTTAGTTATATGTCACTATAACCACATTACTATGATTACATTCATTATCATCTTATTTTACTTATCACTATCTTCTATCTTTTCTACTTACCTTACTTATTTAAACATAATTTATTTGCTTACACTTTAAAGTTAGACATTATTTACATTATCAAAATTAAGAATTAAACTCTATATAATGTTTTAGATTTTGATTGAACTCAATAAACTAAATTTTAGGTGAAAACTAAAAAATTAGAAAACAGAAAATAGAGAACAGTTTTATGTTAGTAAACAAGTTTTCTAAACAGAAAACAGAGAATGAAAACTGAAAAATTAGAAAATGAAAACAGAGAACAGTTTTCTGTTAGTAAACGGACCCCTAGTATTTATAGATGATAAATTGTACAACAAACAACTAATTCAAAAATTTTGGTAGTCCAATGGATGACCGTGCATTGGAAATTGGTATACACAGTGTAATCCATTGAGTGGCTCGAAATTGTATAGTGAAAAGGCAGTATCTCCGACCAAAACAGTGTAATACATGTTGTCCTCCAAACGTTGCCGTATCATTTGGGTGGGAGTTTCTCAACCAAAAGATTTAGCTTTATTATAGTTAGGATTACAATTAAATTAGTGAACATAGAATGTAATTCATGTTAATTTTCTTTTTCTTTTTCTTTTTTAACTCATTTATTCTTTGCGGTAATAATTAAAATATAAAAATTGAAATGTTCACGCTAGTAATAGCTCACAATCACACATAAAAATTACTTTAAATTAATTTACTACCCACAAGTTTATTAATTTCATTACAAATTAATAAAAATAACTCGCAAATGAATATTGAAGAGAAATTTTTAAGTAATACAACATTAGTCTTTGAGGAGAGATTCTCGAACTCAAGGTCAAACATTCAAGTCCGGTTATATTTATGGTTGTTATTTTATAGAATAAACGTAATTATAATTGTTGAAACATAAAAGTTGTGACTGTAAAAATATATTTATTGAAGTTGTGTAGCATTGCGTCTTTTAAGTCTGTATATATTTGTGTGTTGTCTCTCTATTGAGGCATGGGAGTAATACAACAAAATCCTTCTACATCTTTCTCAACAAGGTATCAGAAGCCAAAATTTGAATTTTTTTTTTTTTTTTTCCGGTGAACTGTAACTGGTACTGTTCGTTCAAAACTAGTTTCTCCTATTACTTCTTATAGGTGAGTTCTTTTGTCAAAATAGTACTATAACTCTCTCCTCCAGCCTCCGGTGACCCCTACACATCCATTCCGGTCGCTGGAACACCCTCCAGGCACTGGTTTGTTAACAAAGACCATGGAAACCGTGAAATTATTGAGTATACAGATGCAGATTGGGTAGGTGCATGGGATAAAAAATCAACATTTTGATATTGTATGTTTCTCGGTGGCAATTTAATCTCTTGGAAAAGTAAAAAAAGCAAAATGTTGTTGCTTGCTCAAATGCAGAAGCCGAATATCGATTCATGGCCTTTGGAACATGTGAACTTATGTGGTTGAGAACCCTCCTTACTGAACTGAAGATTTGTACAAAGGAGTCCATGAAGCTCATTTGTGATAACCAAGCAGCTTTGTATATTGCGTCAAATCCAGTTTTTAATGAAATGACGAAACACATTGAAATTGATTGTCATTTTGTTCGAGAAAATGTTGCATATGGAGATATTACTACATCTTTTATAGGCTCAAATAATCAAATTAGCTAATATATTTATTAAAGCTTTAAGAAGTCATAGGATTGAATACATTTGTAACAAACTTGGTGCATATGATATGCATGCTCCAGCTTGAGAGAGTGTATTGATACGCAAAAGTTATATCTGTAAAAATATATCTGTTGAAGTTGTGTGTCAATAGGATTGCATCTTTTAAGTCTGTGTGTTGTCTACTTGTCTCTCTATTGATACATGAAATTAATACAACAAATCTTTCTACATCTTTCTCAACAATAATGTTGTAATAATCATATTGTCAAACTCAAGCTATTGCTCCAGACTTCCACTAAATATCGATTGGATATGATATGTAACAGATATTAACCTAAATTATCAAAAACTGGTAACATGAGAGAAATAGATATTAACGACAAATGTAATTCATTTTCGAATAACTAAGATTTAATACTGTAATTCAGTGTACTACTTTAGGTATCTCTAATAAATTCCGTCTACAATACTACTACAAGCTAAAGCAAAACATGTATATTAAACAAAACATTTTTTTGGGGGGGGAAGGGGCAAGTTTAAAGCTTCATGCACGGAAAAATAAGGAATGGTGAACCACTCTATGACTCCTAAGCTAGTAAATGAGTGACCATATTCGTAGATTGTTTAACATGTAAAAAGCAAATGTTTGTGAACTGCTTTGCTAGTTCTAATAGATCAAAAGAGGCATTCATTCTGCCAGTTTTGAGACCATTCAGCACCTCCATGGCATCCGTTTCAACTTGTATGTTGTCCAGACCAGAATTCTTCATCCATGACAAAGCATCCCTAATGACTACAGCCTTTTCCACCTTTGGATTGAACAGTCTTTTCCATGGAACTTCCTTCACCAAAACAAAGCCGCCATTTTGGTCTCACAAAACACACCCAAAACCCATCTTTCTACCTGCCGTGTCAATTGCCGCATCGACATTCAACTTAAGCCAACCATCAGGAGGTTTTTCCCATTTAGTCACCAAGGCATTATCTCTATTCTTCTTTTGGTCTCCAAGTCGCCTTGCCTCCCTCCAGCCATGTTGAAAAAAAACTTGGCCTCTCGCAGGATACCATACGGTGATGAGCTCTGTTGATTCCAGACTTTGTTGTTTCAAGCTTGCCACAGGCTCCAGCACACCATTATCAACTCACAACATTTCTCATCAGTATGCCCCATGAAATTGATCTCAACCCATTCTTCAAAGGAATCCACATTTGTCATACTTAAACCCCCCACAGTATCCCAGCAATCCTTAGCCATTTTGCAATGCATGAAAAGGTGAAGAGGAGTCTCAGTATCACTACCACAAAATAGAACATTGTACCGTATTACCCAAAATGCTTGTGCGGTAGGCAGGCAATTCACACAAGTCTGCCAGAAAAATATCTTCACTTTTGGAGGAATATTGATAGCCCACATCCTTGTCCATGTTGTTCCTTCCGTTATTTGAGCTTCCCCGGAGGCAGGCAATTCACACAAGTCTGCCAGAAAAATATCTTCACTTTTGGAGGAATATTGATAGCCCACATCCTTGTCCATGTTGTTCCTTCCGTTATTTGAGCTTCCCTGGTGGTCTTACGGTAGCAACTCTTGACAGAAAACTCCCCCTACTCCTCCGCATTCCAAATCAGCTTGTCCTCAGCTTTCATTACTGAAACAGGGATATTCATAATCAGTTCCCTATCTCACTGATCAAATAAATCTGCCAAGATTTCTTCATTACATGCTTTGCCATCAGTTTGAAGAAGAGATTCCACCAAAATGTCCCATAATTCCTGTTGAGCCTCAGATTGCACCATAGGGCATATAGGATCAGGCAGCCAGGGATCTTTATATACTTGAACAGATTTACCAAATGATACATCTCCAAATGAAAATTCACCGCAATGAATCAAGCTCAGCATCCTATATCAGAAAATCTAACACTGCTCATATCCCCAATCACCTGTCTAGTAAATAGAGTTTGTTTTCTTCGGATCTCACTCGTTTAGTGAAGGATCCTCAGAATTCCAGCATTCTGGGCAATATCGAAGAATAAAAGTTAATTGATTGCAATGGCTAACTGCAGCTTACCAAGCTGGATGAGTTTGGCAGGATTTTTGTATACTGTCACTGTAGCTGTATTAGTAACTGATAACATGACATGTGCAATGCTGTAAAGTTCACCCTGTTCAACAGCAAATTGCCACTCCCTTGCGGATATTTTGAACCAATCCTTTCTGACATTTGTTGTTGCCTTCACTTCTATGTATTCCTGATCTCCCACTACAAGGTCATAAGGCAGCCCAGTCTCAAAAGTTTCATTCACCCACTTCACAGATGCGTTACCAACGTTTCCAATGAAGTATTTGAAAGCAACAAATTCTCCTAGTCTACCCGTTAAAAGTGCCTGTTGAGCATCAGCTGGGCAGAGAGATAGCTGACCTCCATCTCTCAAATTAGACAAATTTGAAGCTGAAACTGTATCTTCTGATGTAGTCACAACATGAAGAAATAAAAAATCAAAATCAAAATCAAAACCCAATGGCAATTGTAAAGAATAAGGGAAAAAAAAAAATCAAAACCCAATGACAATTGTTAAGAAGAAGAAGAAAGATGGATCAAATTAAAGCATTAAAAATGTGTGTGTGTGTGTGTGTGTTAAAAGGATAAATGTAACCCTATAAAACAATCAGCCAAGTATCAATTTGCTCTAAAATGAAATTATGCTCCAATTACTGCCAGATTTTGAAACTTCATTTAGTGCTTGATTGGCTCAGCTTGAGCTTCTCCAAAAAAAAAAAAAAAAAAAAAAAAAAAAAAAAAAAAAACATAAATAAATAAATAAATTGAAACACTAATGATTCTTTACAAGGTAGTATCTATTCTATACTTTCTCAATCTTTTTCAGCCCAAAAAAATTTTAGAAGCCTCAACTTACTTTGGAGCTCTTGGAAACAAGGGTTTTCCTCTTATATGGCATTATTAAAAGCTTTTCTATGAATCTACATTTTTAATGTTTGGCCCAACTGCTTTAATAGAGTACATAAGCTCCGATATAAGTTAGGCCCAACAATCATTTAATGTAAGAACTCAAAGAAATATAAATCATGCAAAGGAGAAAAAAAGGTCAGCACAGTTTGACTCACCATGTTCGGGTGCCAAAAGTTTTTGAGAAAGACTGGATGCTTTCCTTCTAGGTGATTCAACATGAATGGATATAAAATCAGAACAATTCTCAGAAACTGTGTTTGCTACATCGAGTTGGCTGAAACTTTGGAAGGTATCATCCATGCTATCCCACATTCCATTTTTAATAGATGTTACCTATCACAAACACATGAAATTCGATGAGTCAACTGCCTAAACACATGAAGATGTTAATACAAAACAATACCCCTAGAAGGATCTGAAGTTATGAATGGATAGTATCAATCACCGAATCATATGAACAAGGACAAAACTGATGTGAGTCCCCAAGAAGTTTGTTGTTTTAATTAAGGAATAAGGACAACATGATTGCATGCCTGAAGTGATAAAAGTTTCCATATGCATGACCATGTTTTTCTCTTTTGGTTTACCATCTTTCAGATTCATTAATTTAAGGACGAAACTATATTACGTACAGTATGAATGTGAGATAAAGATTTTCAATTAATGAATTGTTCATGTAGACCTTCATTCACTATTGTTCAAGCAATGTGTCAATTTCAAGCAATGTCTCAATAATTTACCCTTAACTAAACCAGTATAAACCAAAAACTTGAGAAGAAGAATAAGGAAAAATTACAAGTAAATAAATACACGACGTTTATATGCATTCCCCTGCATTTTGGTCCAACAAAATGTTAGTTTTTAACATTGTTTTACAAAATTTTTGTTATTCTTGTTAACTAAAAGTCTAAATTATTATACAACCATAAGGACATATTAGGTCTTCAAACTTATATCTACAAAAAATTAAGTTTTCTGGCTATAATTTAGGGGGGTGTATTCAATCATGACATTTGTAGAGTTTTAAAGACTTTAATAAACTTTGATTGACTTTCATAGAGTTGTTCAAAACTTTTTAAAACTTTATAAGACTCTATAAAAGTCTATTTAAAAAACATTCATAGACTTTTATCAACTTTTTATTTTAAAAAGTCTACAAAAGTCATTGAAATTCTAAATTGAGTACATCCTTACAAACTTTCAATGATTTTGACTCTTATCATTTATAATTTTCTTACAAAACATTTATAATATATCATAAAATTCTTCTTATTATATAGTTCTTCACCCACATCAACATTCTCAACATTATTATTTTTATCCATAGTATGTTGATACTTATATGCTAATTACTAATTCTTCAAAAAAAAAAATTGCTAATTACTTATATATATTATTAATAAACATCAATACAAAAAAAAAAAAAAAAAAAACTATTTCGTTAGAAATTCATAACAATATTGAACAATAAAATTTATAATAAAAGAATTGATCAAATAAAATATTTAAAAATATAATTACAAGTTGCATAAAATAAAAAAATAAAAATCTAATATTCATAATATATATATATATATATATATATATATATATATACTTGATATATTGTTAGGCATCACGCAAAGTACTATTATTTGCAAAAGCAATTTGAGACTACGAACAACAACAAGGTGCTACTGTTTGCAACCCCAAATTGTTGTTGCGAACAGTAGTTCTCTATTCGTAGTAACCTATTGTTAAAAAAAAAAAAAAAGGAAAAATATATATTACGAATATAAACATAAAAAGAATAAAAATCAAAATATATAAGTATTTATATGAATATTATGAAACATATACTAAAATTTGACGATGAAAAATTTGCTTTGTTCATGTATTTAGGGAGAATTAGAGAAAGTTAGGGATAAAAAATTCATAGAAAAAATAAAAATCAATATAAACAAGCAATAATGAAGTAAAAATAATATTATTTCGAATTTTTAGATGAAGATTGCAAAGTTTAGGAGAGAGAAAAATTAGTAGGGTAGAAAAAAAAATATTTTTATTAAATAGGGAGAAAAAATAGAGTTTAAATAGAGAGAGAAAACATTCAATATTGTTAGAAAGAAAATTTTGAAATCTTGGGGTTGATGGTTGGATTTCAACTATTTATATTTGAGAAGGAAAAGTCTACAAAAGTCTTAAAATTAAAAAGTCTACAAAAGTTCATAACTTTTTGAATACCACATGACTTTTAAAGACTCTTTAAAATTCTTAATCGAATACCACACGACTTTTAAAGACTCTTTAAAAATCTTGATTGAATACCGACTGACTTTTAAAGACTCTAAAAGTTTGAATTGAATACCTCCAAACTTTTAAAGTTCATAAAAGTCTTTAAAACTCTATGAAAGTCATGATTCAATACACCCCCCTTAGATTTGATCTTGAAGCAAAAAAGAAGATATACTCCAGTGCATATGAATATACTTTCTGATGTGTCTCTGAATCATTATTTATTATCCATAATTCATAACATGAAAGTTAATGCTTTGAATAAACTTACAGCAATATGAAGCAAGCCAACAAATGGGTACAAGGAAAACAATTTTCTTGCTGTTGTTCTCTTCCTTGTCCTATAAAATTGAATCATCTTCTCAAACACCTAAACAACAATTATAAACCAAAATCAGCATTTTATAGAAATAACTAACATTTTAAAAGAGAAGTAGACCAATAACAACATAGTGATTATATATAGCAGAGACTTGTACATTGTGGAGACAGGAGGAATTAATACACGATTCATTAGTTAATAGGAAAGCAACTTGCATGCAAACTTCACAAGCACAACCCTATATCAGAAAATGAAAACAAGGGAATAAAAGAAGCAGAAACACAATTGCACCTAATCACCTATTGCCCTAATCCCCACACACCCACCACCCAAATTGATATCATGCATCTAATGGAATATATCTGATGCATAGGACATGATTGTAGATTTATAGAAGATTGTCCCTTTACTTTTACTTGTAGAAAATGGTAAAATCAAGGCACACAGCTTCAATAGACTTCTGGAGGATTAACACATCAACATGTACAATACTACACAGAAACTACATAGCCACCTCAACCACCATCATCTTAGAATAAATATTCTCCTATGCCTGCTTCAGGTAGAAGCCTATAGCCAACAACTGACAACCCAAGATTTGACAAAGAAAGCTTATGAAAGAGAAAAGGTACAAGGGCTTTGTATCTTCTTATAACATAATGAAATGAGTGTCTTTCATACCTCATCCACATTGTTTGCTTGACATGTCTCCTTCCAAGTGGTAATGAACATCTTCATTGAATCACTGCTATATGAGCAATCAATTGAATCAGTTGATTGTTGTTTCACTACCCTTTTATTCTTTTTGCCAGAACTTTTTGTCTGCTCTTTCCTACTGAATGGTGTTTGGATCCTTTTTGTTTTGCGCACTTTTTGAGGTGAAGTAACAGGACTCTGAATATTGCTATACTTTCTCTTTCTTTTGGATTCTTTACTACTCTTATCAATTGAATCAGTTGATTGTTGCTTCACTACCCTTTTATTCTTTTTGCCAGAACTTTTTGTCTGCTCTTTCATACTGAATGGTGTTTGGGTCCTTTTTCTTTCGCACACTTTTTGAGGTGAAGTAACAGGACTCTGAATATTGCTACACTTCCTCTTTCTTTTGGATTGTTTACTACTCTTGCTACATCCCAGCCGTGTAATTTCTTCAGCAACACTGGTGTTTTCTAACTGACATGCTTTTCGGATTAATGTGATATGCATCCTGAAAAAAAAAAATCAGAGAGAAAGAAACAAGCATTAAATATTTGAGGAACAAATTTGCGCAAGTATAATTGATTCCAAATAAGTGTAATTATGAACAATTAGTCTTTACATTGAACTTAGTCAAAAGAAAATGATTAAACTTCTTTACCAGAAACATAAAACTAAATTACACATTGTACAGCTGCTATGACAAAGGGGACAACAACTTGACTGCTTAAAATTGGAACACCCTTAAGAAAACAGCAAGCACATTAGCAATATTCAATTGCTAACCTAGAAAAATTACATTGTGTTATTCCATCTATGGCATGGTTATTAAGGCGGACTTTCTGAGCAAGATGCCACCGACCGCCTAGTCGACTAGGCGCCGACTAGGCAATGAGTATTAAATACGGAGTAAATAAATAAGTACGGCCTGAGCTCGCTGGGCAAAGTGACCTTGTTAGGCATCCGGTCTCCACCGACCAGAGGCCTAGGCGACACCTTGATAACCATGATCTATGGAACAATGAAAATAATTTATAATACAGTCCTTTCATTTTCACATTTAAGAGGAAAGAAAAGGATTTTTTATGATAACAAACAAATCTTATAAGGGCTCACTTTATTGTGAAAAGGAGAGGTTTGAAGGTGTAGGGGTAAGGAAGTTAATGGGCTTATAATCATGTAATTAAGTGAAGCACTCATTAATACAATTAAAAATATTCCTCAACTTCAGAACCAGGAAACAAGCAAAGAAAGAGAAGTCTGCTCTAGGGCTCCCAAGTTCACATAAAAGATGAAATTTTGACGTGAAGGTATATAATTCAATATTTCAATCACACTAGCTGTCTCACTATAACAATGTAAAGTAACTTAAACCACAATAGCATCTGTTGTTCTACCAATATAAATCACCAAATGTTCATTTAAAGGAAAAGGAGCACCTACCCCAAGCTCTGAATTCGCACACCAAGCTTTTCCTTGGCTGTTACAGATTTCTTCTTTGCAATAAAATCCAAAAGCTCCTCAATTTCTACATCTCTTTGTTTATTGATATCCATTAACTCAGAAAGCAATGACACTATCTCTTCACTTGTTATTCGGCACATTTCTGTGGCATCAGCACTGAGAGAAAAATAATGTATAATTAATGGGTGTTTCACCAAAGGCCCCAATTCCAGATCTTCAAACCGCTCAACCCCCTCTGCATTGCATATTGCAATTTCCAAATCAAGCAATGTTGTAATTCTCCGAGCGCCAGCAAAGCAGTGAATGAAGTCATTAATCTACAAAAAGATAAAACATATAAGAAAATTTTTGAGAGGTCTACAAGATTCCTAATTGCATATGAATGTAGAAAAACAAGGAGACATTATATGTATGCCCCTCAAACTTCAGAGCAATTTAATTTTCTTATATTCCCATGAATCTTAATTGATCCATTTTATACATTCAACTTTAGTGTGTGGCCCAATACATTTAAAGGTGAAGGACTACCCCTTAAGAGTTGCACAAAACTATACAACTTGGCTAATCACAAAGTTAATTGCCAGTTGAACTTGATAATAAAGAAATAAATCAAAACTCATAAGGGAACACAGTAAATTCAACCAACGATTGATACAACCAATATTCATTCCTACCTTTCCTTCGGTGAGCATAAGGCGGTGAAGAGAGGGCACTTGCCGCATTTGGAAACCCAAAGACTCCCAGGTGTCAGCCTGAAGTATTGCCAGAGCTGATTGAGACACTTCCCATGCTGACACGCCCTCTTCAGTTGCGAGAATTTCGCGGTGAGCCGTCAGCACTGCCTTATCGATCCTCTCGGCTACTGTCGCCGGCCTCGAAAGCTGAGCCTGGAACTGAAAGCTAGGGTTTGGGAATGAAAAGCTAGGATTCTGATATTGTAAATAAAGGTTTTGGAAAGGATTAGGGAAGACATTCGGACTCTGCGAATAGTATAGATTAGGTTTTGGATTAAAGTTGGCGCCTGTTGAGAGCGGCGTAGAGCCACCGCCGATCGACGGCTGTCCGTACATGTTCAGAAGCTTTTGAAATTTGAAATCTGTGATGTAAAACGAAGGACCTAAGGCGGGACGTGAAGGGCGTTTTATATAATGATGATGCGCCGACATTATTAGGGCTCTGTTTGGCCAATAAACTATAAGCCCTATTTGATAATGTTTTCAAAATAATGGTCCGTTTGGAAACTCGGAAAATGACTTCTGACAAATACCTTTTGAAAAATAAGTTATTTTTCATAAAATATTTTCATTTCCCGTGTTTAGCTGTTCAACGGAAAACTGTCTTTATGTTTGGTTCATTTTTTAGAAAATGAGCAGAAAAATGAATAGAATGGTATATTTCAACATTTTAATTGTTTGGTACTTTTGATAAAATTCTTCTATGAATAGCACTAAGCCTTGAGGATAATTTTGAATATATATATATATATATATATATATATATATATATATATATACTAGTATTTGACCCGTGCGCTGCACGGTATGTAAATTAAAAAGTATTAATTGTGTGTATATTATGTTACAAATTGTGTGAACTAATGCGGTTAAAATTTATAACATATAAATGAAATATGATTGGGATAGATGGAGATTAAGTCCTAGAAAAGAGAATAGTACGAAAAGAGATCAAATAGTTGCAAGGTCATGGAACTAAGAAAAGAGAACTTTACAAAATTACAAATTATTGAAAACTTCATGATATACAACATTAGTGGTTGATGTAGTAGTTGAACTTGGGTCTTTGACTATCAATATTTTGAGACCGTCAGGACTGTTAACCCGAGATGCAGCTACGTACCATTTTGTCTGTTAAAAAAAACAATGTTATCAGTACACATTTATTATTTGGTGTACCATTTTTGTTAATCATACATAGATCAAGTTTAATTATTCAATCATAGTATGTCAACAACCACGTTATTATATTGTATAATGTTTATTATAATGTTAAAGTACTAAAACTAATTTATTATATAATCATAGCTTAATCTAATTTACATTCGTAATTGCCTAAATATTGACATAACATTTATCAATATAATGATAGTAATAATAATGATTTGTATTATTATAATAAAATAATAACAATAGTAAACTGATAATATAACGCTCTTCCCTAACACTATAATAGTAATTAAAATAACTATTAATTACCAACCATTATAGTAAACAATTGAGTACAAGAATTTGTAATACATAAACAATTAAACTTATAATAATAAACAATTAAACATAAACAATTAAACAATTGAGTACCTTGCTAATAATAATAATAATAATAATAATAATAATAATAATAATATAATAATAATAATAATAATAATAATAATAATAATAATAATAATTAATATATCTTACATAAACATCACAGATGGATTGAGACAGTGATGTTAACAGCTGTCCTTCCCTTTCCTACACACCTAGCCTTCATCCTCATCTAAGCTCATCTCACCCATCCCAGTCTCGGTCCTCTCACCACAAATGGAGTTCTTAACTCCCGTTTAGGGTTCGATGAGAAACTGTTAACCGAACTATACTATGGATTCGCGATGATGATGATCTTACTGTGAAGTATGTTCAATACTCCCAATCTGAGTGTTAACCCCATAGTCAAAACCCTGATTTAGAGATATCACGGTCTATCGACCGCCATATGAACACTATACTTCGCCGGCTTTCATGGATAGAGGGAGATCGAAGGTTGGTGGTTAGTAATGTGTGATGCTCAACGATGGACCAAGGCAGAAATGGGTGTTCTCCTACACGATTTCTAGATTTTATACCAAGTTGGGTAACAATTTCTAACCCTATCTCTTCTAATTTTTCAGATCTAAGTATGGTGACTATATATCTATCTAAAACGGCAGTTTATAGAACTAATTTTTAGAAATCATCTTCGTGTATACTGAAATTTGTTTATCAACACATCTTGTTAGGAATATAGCGGAGTAATGCGGAAGCGAAGAATCGAAAATTGAGAATTATAGAAGTTAAATAATAGGGGAAAATATAAATGACACAAAGAAATAGGAATATGGAGAATATATATATATTATATATTATCACTCAAAGAGGATTAAAGAAATTAATAATATATATATATATATATATATATATATATATATATATATATATATATATATATATATGTATGCTACGTGAAGTAGCTAAAAGGAAAAGATAATGAATGAATTGGTGCATTGAATTACAAGGCTTAGCTAGCTACTTATACAATCCAAAAAGAGAATTAAGTGGGCATGCATGCAACAACGACGCAATCGGACGAACGTGCAAGATGGACACCATGCGATGCGGATGGTTGAAGGGGGGAAATGTCTTCATGGATGAATTTTAGCCACAAAAATTATGCATGTCTTAACAATCTCCACCTTGGATCAAATTCATCGTGAGAATTAACAATTGAAATAGTCCGACTAAACTCAAACACTACTTGAACTTAGCAACAGGAAGAACCTTGGGAATAGCAGGATGAATCACCATCAACTTCCTGTGTGACTGAAAGTGCATAAGCAACCATATTGGTTTCATCGTCACTAGCGTACCTAGCAGGTTTTTTAATTGTCCTCCTAGGACGATCCATAGCAATGGAATACTCTCGTTGTGGCTCGATGAGAGGTGCGGTGCTAGTAGATGCATCATCTTTAGTATTACCATCAGCAGTAGTAACACTATCAATAGGCCTAAACTCAAACTCCACCTTCTCACCAGTACTCTGCGTCTCACTTGTACTGGGAGCTTTTCCAGAAGAAAGTAGTGCATTTTCATCGAAAGTGATATCTCGACTCAGAATGATTTTCTGAGAATCAGAAGACCATAGATGATACCCTTTTGACTCAGAGGCATAACCAAGGAAAATGCATTTAACAGCTCTCGGGTTTAATTTACCCGTACTAGAATGAGCATAAGCAGGACATCCAAAAACTCTTAAGATAGAGTAGTCAACAGGATTACCTAACCAAACTTCTTCTGGAATTTTGAAATCAAGGGATGAATGTGGAGATCTATTTACCAAATAGCAAGCAGTAGAAACGGCCTCGGCCCAAAAATCACGCCGTTTCCATAACCCAGCATTAGAGAGCATACAACGAGCTCTTTCCAATAGTGTCCTGTTTAGACGTTCGGCAACACCATTTTGCTGGGGTTTACCAGGCAAGGTCTTGTGCCTGGCGATTCCATTTGCCGCACAGAAGTCATTGAAATCTGACTCACAGAATTCCAAGCCATTGTCTGTCCTGAGCTTCTTGACCTTTTTCCCTGTCTGAGTCTCAACAAGTATTTTCCACTTTTTGAAAATAGGAAAAGCCTGATTTTTGTGTTTCAAGAAATAGACCCAAACCTTACGGGAAAAGTCATCAATAATAGACATGAAATATCTACAGCCTCCCATAGACTGGAATTTAGTTGGTCCCCATAAATCGGAATGTATATATTCCAATACATCTTTGGTACGGTGTGTAACAGTAGAGAAACTAACCCTCTTTTGTTTCCCAAAAATACAATGCTCACGAAATTGTAATTTACCCGTACCTGAACCACCAAGGAGGCCTTTTTTGCTCAGGAGATGCATGCCTTTCTCACTCATATGCCCCAGACGCATATGCCATAATTGAGTGAGATCCGCATTAGACATCGATGAGGATACCGCTACTGAACCTGTCACAGTACTGCCACGCAAGACGTATAAGCTTCCGGAACGAGAAGCTTTCATGAGAACCAAAGAGCCTTTGATGACTTTCATAACTCCACCTTCAGCTACGTACTTGCACCCCAGAGATTCCAAGGTGCCCAAGAATATCAGATTGCGTTTCAAATCAGGAATATACCGAACATTGGTAAGAGTCCTGATAACGTTATCATGAGTTTTAATCTGCACACTTCCAATTCCACTAACCTTGCATTGGGTATTATTACCCATCAAGACAACTCCACCATCAACTGGTTCCAGAGAGACGAACCAGTATTTGTGAGGACACATGTGGAATGTACAACCAGAGTCCAGAATCCACTCGGTTTCGCTCCATTTGCAATCGGAGCTAACAGATAACAAAACATCGCCTTCTGAATCACTTTCAACAACACTAGCTTCAGCGAACTTCTTTTCTCTATCTTGCTTGTTTTTCAACTTGAAGCATTTAGTCACATCATGACCATGCTTCTTGCAGTACTTACAGGATTTGTTGGACTTTCGTCATTTGGACTTGGATCTAGATTTTTTATTGCTACTCTCGGTTTCAAGTGAACGACCCCTCACGGTTAAGCCTTCACCTTTGTCCTCAGACTTAATTTCAAAGTCAAACTTTTCTTTGGACAATAGGTTTGACTTAACATTGTCAAAAGTAAGGGTATCACTACTATTACCATACAGCATAATTTCTTTGAAATGCTTGTATGATTTAGGGAGAGAGACAAGCAATAAAACAGCGCGATCCTCATCTTCAATTATGACATCAATATTTTCCAAGTCCAATAAAATAGAATTGAATTCATCCAAGTGAGATTTAATAGAAGTACCTTCCGTCATACGGATTGTGTACAGACGCTCCTTCAGGCGTAGCGTATTCGCCAGAGTTTTGGCCATGTAAAGTGTATCCAGCTTGGACCATAAATCTGACGCAGTCGTCTCACTTACCACCTCACGTAGAACCTCTTTAGACAGGCACAAAAGAATGGTTGAACGTGCCTTGTCATCCAAATCTTCCCAAGTTTCATCTGTCATTGTAGCTGGTTTCTTCTTCTTTCCAGCTAGCGCTTTCTTCAAACCGTTCTGGGTTAGAACGGCTTCCATCTGAACCTTCCAGATAGAAAAGCTAATTTTCCCGTCGAACTTCTCGATATCGAACTTAGTGACAGTCGACATCTTTAAAATAACTCTCAATAAAACCGCTCTGATACCACTTGTTAGGAATATAGCGGAGTAATGCGGAAGCGAAGAATCGAAAATTGAGAATTATAGAAGTTAAATAATAGGGGAAAATATAAATGACACAAAGAAATAGGAATATGGAGAATATATATATTATAT